GGGGGGGGGGGTGTTAATCCAGGTGACCACACTGGGCCCTGCACTTTGGAGGCCCCATGGACAGTCCTGTACAGGCCCCACTGCAGCCTTCATGCGCCACCACTGCCAGCTCCGGCCACTTGCCACCCCTACCCCCCGGGCCCCACACACCTCTAGGAATGGCTCTGCCTATACCCTGGCTAGGCAGCTTGTCCGAGCCCCAATCCTTCCCTTGCTGTGGGGGTGTTGATCTGCCTCCCAACCACGCTCCTTCCCTCCCCCTTCCACCCACCACAACAGACTTACCAGGTTGAGGCAGCTGTGTCCAACGTCCTCGAAGACTGCTGCCTGTTTAGTCTATGGCCAGATCTCTGAATGGGTGCCAAATGGTTGAATCTGATTCGGCCAAATAGAATCAGGACAGTGATTTGAATAACCAAATCGAATCACCGTCCCTCCAAATCGGCCAAATCCAACGCAAATACTTGCTGCTTCGCACAGGCCTACCACCCAGTGTTTATGATATATCTTCAGATTTTCACAAATAAATTAACTGGCAATAGAGGAATGCTTGCAGAGAAGATGTAACAAAAGAAGTTAAGAGTTTGTGCAAATGTTTAGAGGAAAACATTGTTCAAGTGTTTTAGTTCTCTGGATAATTTTTGTGATCTGATTATATAAACAAGTTAAAATTGGCATAGAAAATGATGCCATTTAAAATGGAAAGACAAATCCTGAGGAATGCTCAAAGATAAAGTGAAAATATTATTTTTGTTCCGAGAAGGAGAGACCTTGAAGGACAGAATGTATTATTTGAATAGATCTATAGCTCAACAGAGCTCCACTCATCTAAATTAAACCGATTAAATTACATTAATTTGACCCACCAGGATTTTTCCAATACAAATATTTTAGACTGTAGTAAATTATGTCAGCTTTGAATTTTTGGATTACATTATTTTCATGTATTTACTTGCTTGGAAACAAGTAAACATTAATACCTATGAAACCACTGCTTGATCCTGCAAGCCAGTCACTGAACCCAGAAAAATAATTTATAGTACATGAAACCTGAACTGGACAGAGTTAACTGGTTCAGAAAGGGCTTCATCAATTTTTTAAGGAGCACTTAGGATTCTGTGTCACTTCTGTGGAGTCTTTAAATGAAAGTTTATGTGCTTTTTAAAACCAAAAGTAAAGCAATTTATTTTCAACAGAACAAAACAAATTGGATTGATGATAAGTGAGCTTCAAGAGCCAAAATGCTTGGAGATGTCAGATAAGATATACAGAAGTCCATATGAATGGCAAATTGAAATTTACATGAGCAAGACAGGGCATAAAATTATACATTTAAACGGCCTATTTGCATTTGCAAAGATGATTCATAAGTGCTAATACAAGTTTTTATGGGCATGTATATCTTTGAAAATATCTATTGCTGAGGCACTGATATATTTTTTTCTGGGGGAGAACTAAAAGCATTTAACTGATTTTTACATGCAAAGATTACTGCATGTATACAGCTGTTTTGCTGTAATGGATATCTTATATATGTTCCTGATATTATAGATCTTTAAAAAAATGCCAAATTACCCTTTCAATATAGCTTAAGGAGCAAGAGAAGAGACAATAGCCATTTCTGTAACACAGAAAAGTCAGGATCTCCTGCTCAGCAAACGAAGAAATCAGTATCAGTCAGTCATCTGTTCTACTTCAACCGGGGGCTCCTTAGTACAAAAAGTGGCATAGGTTGGCATGTGTTAAGTGCATATAACCTATCTGAAAATGTAAGATGCCCTCTTTTGCTTTTGAAAACCAGAGATGATTTCTTTCCTTTCAATTACATATTTCTGGGTTCTTGTATCCCATACAAAAATGGAGATAATCTATCCTTCCACAAGATGGAAAAAGGAGTGAGAGTTGCCACATCAGTACCTTGGTGAGGGGCTGGTTGCTTTTCTTCCATTGAAACTTTAGTAAAAAACTCAGTCAAAAACCAGCAATTAAAACTAACTATAATATCCAGTAATAAAGGTCTAAAACAAAATCTTTTTTTCTAATTGGCAGAATCTAATTGGTAATTCTGGACTGGCAGATATGGATATCGAAGAACTAAATTAAATAGAAAAATATCTTTATCCTATATGAACTTCAACAAGCAAGATTTCAAAACGGTACTTGGAAAATAAAACACACAGAAACAAACAAGGCTATTGACAAATGGCAGACTTCAAAACCTTTCCCCAAACTTCAGAAACCACAAGCATGGCTGTGTACCCTCAGCATTAACATGGAAGTCATCTGGACATTAGTGCACAAACCAACCAAATTTCCTAACAAAGCTACCAAATACACCAGTCTCTTTTCAAGATGCACGAGGATGTGGCAAGCTCAGAACAATAAGACCTAGTGCTAGAAATGATCATTCAGATTGTGAAAGATGAAGAATTTATAGGCTGTGGACAGAAATTACACATAAGCCAGTATAAGTGATCAGAAACCAATTCAAATCTGTAACACAACAGAGGTTCAGTGCACATAAACTGCTTTCAAAATGACTGAAACCAGTTTAAAATAAACCTGAATGAATGTAGTATCAAACTTAACAGATTTAGGTTAAATCAGTTTATTGAACTTCTGCCCCAGATCCCCTCCAGATTCAAGTTAACTCACAGTTCCCTAACTTCCCAGGATGCTTTGCACCTCCCCCGCAATCTGCCCCCACTCCTCTTGCAGGGTGGGTGAGCTAGACTTGACCCAAGCTGCCTGCTCCATCCAAGCAGGGAGGCGTTCTCTACCACCCTCCAACTTTTGGCCTGGGCCACTGCAAGTACGTGGCTGCATTTCCAGAATCAAAAGCAAATGTCTGTTTACGTGCTTATTGGTTCAATCTAGGCAGCTTAAACTAACTTGCAAAGATTGAATTGATTCAGCCTTGGGCTTTTTGACTGTCTGTACTTAGTAGGCCTGTGTGAATAGGTAAGTAGTCATAGTTTCATAGTTTCTAGGGTCAGAAGGGACCTGAGTAGATCATCTAGTCCAACCCCCTGCCATGGCAGGAAAGAGTACTGGGGTCAAACGACCCCAGCAAGGTGTACATCTCTTAAAGACCCCCAGGGTAGGAGCCAGCATCACTTCTCTTGGAAGCTGGTTCCAGATCCTAGCCACCCTGACTGTGAAGTAGCGCCTTCTGATATCTAGCCTAAATCTACCCTCTACCAGCTTGTGACCGTATTCCTGGTCACTCCTGGTAGTGCACGGGGTAACAGGGACTTCCCCAGTGCCTGCTGATCCCCTCTGACTAGTCTGTAACAGGCCACTAGATCCCCCCTCAGCCTTCTCTTGTGGAGGCTGAACAGGTTCAGGTCCCGTAGCCTGTCCTCGTAGGGCCTGCCCTGCTGCCCCCTGATCATGCAAGTGGCCCTCCTCTGGACCCTCTCCATGTTGTCCACATCCCTCTTGAAGTGTGGCACCCAGAACTGGACACAGTACTCCAGCTGCGGCCTGACCAGTGCCACATAGAGGGGGGGTATCACTTCCTTGGACCTGCTTGAGATGCATCTGTGGATGCATGACAAGGTACGGTTGGCCTTCCTGACTGCATCCCCACACTGCCGGCCCATGTTCATCTTGGAGTCAATGATGACTCCAAGATCCTTTTCTGCCTCTGAAGAAAGTCGATTCAGATTCGGCTGATTCCGAGGACTGTGATTCGATTCGGAGATTTGGATCACTGTCCTGAATTGATTTGGCTGACTCAGTTTCAGAAGATTCAGTGCTGACACATGGAGCCACCCCAGCTCCCAGACAGTGCGTGGCCCCTGTGCACCCGTGCAATGCGACAGGTGCCAGGCAGGGAGGGCGATCCCAGCTACCCACCCCACTGTCCCACACTATGCGGGGGCGCTATGCCACATGCCCTCAGAGGCTCCAATTGCTGCTGCCAGAGCCAGTGAGTGCAGGGCTTTTTTTTTTTTTAATTTTTTTTAAGTGCCGGGAAGCTGGGGCTAGCGGGAGGAGGTGGGGGGGAGATCGGGGAGTGGGGGCTGTGCGGGGGAACCTACGTGGCCCCAGAGCCCCCAGTGCTGCTGCTACAGCTGGTGAGTGCAGGTCTATGCTTCAGAGAGATTTCCTTGGATTCACTCCCTTGAAAATTGCAATTAGGATCTCCAAGCTGAAAATCACCCTCAGCAGTTTGACAATAGCCTTTAGTTTGTGAACAAGGCAAAAACTTCAAGTGGCTTTGAAACTGGTTATGTAAATAGAGTACATGTACCTCTGGATGTAACACCCAGAATCCATAAATTTAGGCCTGGATTTGCTCCTCTGCCAAAGAGGTACCCTACTGTGTCCTAGCAGAGTCCCCCCTAATAAGGGAATTAAGCAGTTTAGCGTATCCTTATCCAAAACATGTATTAGTCAAGGGCATCCCTGTAAGAAGTCACAGACTGTGGGCCTAATCTACTTCCCACTGATGTCAATACAAAGCTTTCCAATTTTCTACCAACTTTAATGAGAGTGGGATCTGGTGCAGTTTACACAGTCATAGACCTGATCCTGAGGTAATCAAGTTATATGTTGGGCAGACAACCTGATGACTGATATGGCAGAAACATGATAAGGCAGAAATGTATTATTAGTTTCATCAGAAAATACAAGTATATTACTACATACTAACTAGAATATTCTAAGTTCTTACCTGTTCTTTTATTTTTGTCCACATAACAATACTTTATTTCATAAGCTTTGAATAAGTCATGGATTTCCTGAAAGAGACAAAACATGGCAAAAAGTAACCGATCAAACCAAAGTGAAATTCAACTTAAATTTTTAGTTCTGTTACACCCCAGCGTTTCTGATAACAAGTAATTAAATGTTTGTTTTAAAAAGGTGCAAGTCATAACCCTACATCACTGTTTTATCCCAAACTAAGACTCAAGTCCAATAAACCATTCTCCCTATTTAATTGTATGGATACAATGTGGCACAAAAGAATAGGTTGACTAGCCCTTTATAAAGTTACATTGCATAGCAGCTAAAGAAAAATCATTCAAAAAAGCATTCCTGAGAGAATTCAGGAAAGCCCAGTTCCAGTGAACTCTCTGTTTTTTGAAATTCTAGCACAATATAAGTAGAATATACAACCTCTAGGAAGCATAAATAGCATAATAAGAGCTGTATGGATAACACCATACCAATTGGCTGTAGCCGTAAGAGTCCCTATCAGAGTGTATTGTATCATATTATTTAGAACAATTCCTCAGTCATATGTTCCAACATAATGTCATTCCACAGAGGTGGCAGGCCTATAATGTAATGTAGTGAAAGCACCTAACTTCTTAAGTTCATATATAACTGGACTTTCAGTTTTTTGGTAACAAATATACTTTGTATAACTGACCATCCACTGTGAAAGTCCTAGATCAACAGCTGTGCAGGGGTTCCCAACTGTACTGCATACCGCCACCTCCTCTACTCTTGAGCAGAATGGGAAAGATGCAGTTACTACCCTATCTTTGGGGGTAAAAGTCATAGTAAAGGTGCATCTTTGGTTCCATGCTAAAAAAGAAAATATACCTGCCAGAAGTACGTATCACAAAAAATCCATTATTCAGTGTCCCTTCAACTGTAAAAAAATGAAAAACAGACCAGCCTACTACCCAGAGATCAGGGAAGAAGCATGGATATGTTGAATCTTTTTGTCAAGTATATCCTCTAGGATTAGAATGAAACTCCTATCAATTGAGTGAAATAAACAACATGTTCCTTTACCAGACAGTTCCATGTTACATGATTTTAGCAGCGCAGCATACTCTCTCATCTTTCCAATTTGCTAATTCAATACATATAGCTATGAGGTTAATGGGGTTGATTTGAACAGGATCAGGTGTATCCTTTTAGTTAAATGGAATACCGGTCTCTCATTTCACCGGTTAACAGCTGTCAAATGCTACATTAATAAAATATGACACTGCTCCTCAGCTGTAATAAGACGTGACATGAATGTAATTTCTGAATAACAAACTGTGCTGAATCCTTGGACCAGTTTTTGTATTAGTAGATGACTTGAATGCGGACCAAAAGAGGATGTTGTGTTCATGAAGGATATGATGACAACTAGTTAACTCTCATTCATGACAGCCAGCTGGAGAGAGGATGCTTTCTTTGCAATTCTGAACCCAGAAATATTTCAGAATCCAAGGTACATATCAAATATCTCACTTACACAATGTGGACAATTTTACTTCATTAGATCACTTCAAGAAAGAAGTTAAGATTTAGTGAAGTTTTACTTTGGGATTAGGTAATGGTAAAATACTAGTGCAAATGCCTATTAATATTATTTCCTGAAAAACATTTGCAAACCAAATGATCACTGGGAAATAACCTGTCATTTTGCTGAAATTATAATTGAGAAAGAAAATGGAATTTGATGAATGCATCTGCTTGGGAGAGTCATTAGTAGGGACCTACCTAAATCATGGCAAGATGAAGACAACTTTGCAGTGCACAGAGCCGATTTCATGGTCTTCACAGAGAGGCCACCCTCGCCACTGCTTGGCCAAGGGTCCTCTCTGGCCCTGCCCCTTGCTGCTGATTGGCTGAGAGGCCAATCACTCATCTTCAGACTGAAGTATTGCAGCAGCATTGCATCTGGCTTCTTAAAATACAGTGTTAAAACCCTTCCGTGTTCCTAACTGGCACCTTCAATGAGTCTACGTCACTAGCTCAGCCTCTCAGTAGCTCTCTCTCAAATCATGTGCTCTATGGCTGCAGGTATTGCTGCACTTTCTTTGTATTCCAGTAAGCTCTAATTTTTTGGGGGCACTTCCACACAAAATTGCAGGAAACACCATTTTTCACAGTGATCGCACAAACCATCATTTTCACTATTTCCATGAAAATCGTGAAACTGTGATGTAAGTAGTTCTGTAATCATTAGATCCTACAAAAAGCAAACTGATATCATAAGATTATTGTAAGGGAGTAGAGCAGGTGCCAGACTCGGAGGGACCCCGAGTCGACGCAATCCAACGCCGCTCGCGCGGTGTGGCTGGCGACAAGTGGCGGGAATTTGAACCCTACAGGAACCCGGAAGTGGGAGGCACTGGGGCAACCCAGGCCCATTCAAAAGGAGCACCGGTGCGGATGGGTCCGGAGGCAGCGGAGCCGAGAGAGACGGGTCCGGAGGCAGCGGAGCCGAGAGCAGCAGGTCCGGAGACAGCAGAGCTGAGAGAGACGGGTCCAGAGGCAGCGGAGCCGGGAGAAGCGGGTCCGGGGACGGCAGTGCCCGACGCGGCGGAAGCAGGCGCTGCAAAGGCCAGAAGCGTCACAGAAGTAAAGGCACGCCAGTGGACCAGGGCCAGCGGAAGGAGCAGCTGGACCTTTTGGGGTAAGCGGGACCCCGAGACAGGGATCCATACCCCGGGCAGTAGACCTAGTAAGGGTGAAGAAGCAAGAGTGCCACAGGGTGCAGCACGAGCCCCGTAGGGAGCAGGGCTGGGGAACAGTGACTGGGGGATAGGCTTGTGGCCGAAGGATCCCTGCCTTACTTGTCTTTTCGGGGTCACGGCTGGTGAACCGCTTGGGCGGAGCCGCTCGGAGCAGGGGGAAGACCCAGAGGGGAGCAAGGACTCCCGAACCCGGGCCAGACCCTTGGCCGGGATCTTCCTTTCTTCTATGGACTATATTTTATTTATTTGGCGGGGTCCGCGGTCCACCCGAGTAACAGAGCCGGACAGGGTAGGACAACCCCTACCGGAGGACTGGGCGAGGGTGTAGGGGTGGAGGAGCCCTCAGGACAACGGGACCCTGAAGAAGACTAGAGTCTCATTCCCGGACTGTACGCGCCATACCAACTGGACAAAATATAGTTTAACAGCAAGTCATGGCAGGCGAGACAAGCGCATATGCATGTCCGAGCTGGGTGAGCCCCTTGTAATCTTGGAGGGAACTGCCCCTTTCCGGGGACTTGGGCCGGGAGGGGACCTGGCCCAGTTGAGACTCCCTCACAATTATTTTAAAAGAAACAGTACTTTTAAAAAAGTAAAATAATTTGAAAGTAGGTTGTCATTTTTATTTTTTTAATTTCCAGTAATCCTGTGGAACCTTAAGGTCAACAATCTTCCCTACATGATGCACTCCATATCACTAACACTAAATTATTGTAGGGCTGCTGACAAGTTGCTAATGGCAATGATTTATTTTAGTTAAAACATTTAAGAGCTAAAGTATTTTCCTGGGGAAAAAGTACACATTATTAAGTATACCATGACTCTACAAACAAATGCAAGAAACAAAGAAAAAAAATACAGCCTTTCAGCCCTGGTACTGCTTGTTTTTTGTTTTTTTTTTTTTAAAGTAATGTATGTTTTTCCTCTTTAAACTAGGTGTGTCAGGGGATGGGTGTGCAGATGGGAATGTAAGCCAGGGGACAGCCAAGCAGGATGGACATAGAGAGGGCAGTCAGGGAGGTGTTCAGAGGCTGGAACAATGTTGGGGTGGCAGGGAACTGGAGGTTACCAATGGGGGACTTAACTGTCTATACATAAATGCTAGATGTATGGGGAATAAGCAGGAGGAACTGGCACTGGAGACCTGGTGGGACGGTATGCATGACTGGGCTGTATGCATAGAGGGCTACAGGCTGCACAGAACAGACTGGGCAGGTAAGAAGGGAGGAGGTGTAACTCTCCGTGGTAAAGGAGCGGTAATGCCTCCTCAGAGACCCAACCTGGTACAAGAGAAGGGCAACTCAAGACCCTGTGGGTCAAGATACAGGGGGAGGGGGGAGGGAATGAAGGGAAGGGGACTTGACTTGTCTACTACACCAGGAGGAGGAGCTGGAGCTGGAATGAATTTTTCCAGAGAACTGATGGAGCCTGCATATTTAAGGAACTTGGTTGTTATGGGTGACCTCAATTACCCTGACATCTGGTGGGAGGAGCACTCAGCTAGATCTGACTGGTCACGTAGGTTTTGCCTTGCATGGAACTTTATTTAGTACAGGAGGTGAACAGACCGACCACTGGGAAGTCTTCGTTGGATTTGGTTCTAGCCAAAGCAGATGACCTGGTGGGAGATCTGAGGATCGAGGGTAATCTGGGAGACAGTGATCATGAGATGATAGAATTCACTATTCGTTGTAGGGTGGGGAAGTCAGCCAGGAGGGCAGAGGCTCTTGACTTCAGGAAGGATGACTTCAATGAGCTTTGGAAAATAGTGGGAGAGACGCTATCAGAAGAGGGACTGGAGGGGAAGGGAGTTCAGGAAGGGTGGTCGTTCCACAACGGAGTGATCCTCAGAGTGCAGAAAATGTCCATTCTTGTATGCAGGAAAGGTGGTAAAGGGGCCGGGAAGCCATCTTGGCCTACCAGAGGAGTCAAGGAGTACAGGCATACCTCGTTTTATTGCGCTTCGCAGATATTGCTTTTTTTTACAAACTGAGGCAAGACCCTCCACCAGCAAAAAGATTACGACTCGCTGAAGGCTCAGATGATGGTTAGCATTTTTTAGCAATAAAGTATTTTTTAATTAAGGTATGTACATTGTTTTTTTAGACATAATGCTATTGGACACTTAATAGACTACAGTATAGTGTAAACATAACTTTTATATGCACTGGGAAACGAAAAAATTTGTGTGACTCGCTTTATTGCGATATTCGCTTTATTGCGGTGGTCTGGAACCGAATCCGCAATATCTCCGAGGTATGCGTGTACTTAAAAAAAGAAAAAGGATGATTACAGACAGTGGAAACAAAGGG